GTCCTCTTCTATGACTCCCACTTGCTCACTACTTAGTTCACAAATCGTGCCAGGAGGGCAGTGGGATGACTGCGGTCACTGGTCCGCGTCAACAGATGCACCCAGGAGGGACCAGAAAAAACAAACAGCCTCCCAGGGCTGAAGCTTTTACTTCTGCAAAAGTGCAGGTATAAGCTTCTTCGTTGTTGCGTGTTCACTTCTCCCTCTTGTCTGAATCACTTCCCTGGTGGGGAGACGAAGGATAAGGGTCAAAGAATAATAAAACCATTTCACTTGTGTTTCAGAACCAGCACTCATGCTGTCAAGAACCCCAAGAATCAGCGACTCTTGCCTGACACACTTCACCCTTATCAACAAAAGGCCATAAAACAGAATGAAATCATGCCATTTGCAGCAAAAGGGATGGACCTAGAGATGATCATACTAAGTGAAATAAGTCAGACAGAGACAAATATCGTATATCATTTATATGTGGAATTTTAAAAAATGAGACAAATGAACTTATTTACAAAACAGAAATAGACTCATAGACATATGGAAAAAAAACTTATGGTTACCAAAGGGGAAAGGGTGGGGGAGGGATAAATTAGGAGCATGGGATTAATAGATACACACAACTATATATAAAATAGATAAACAACAAGGTCCTTCCTGCTGTAGAGCACAGGGAAGCATATTCAATATCTTGTAATAACATATAATGGAAAATAATCTGAAAAAGAACATATATATATAAAACACACACATACATATAACTGAGTCACTATGCTGGCTGTACACCTGAAGCTAACACAACATTGTAAATCATCTATAGTTAAAAAAATGGCAACATGGTCAGCAGACATTTGGTTCCATCCAAAATGTCCATAAAATATTTGGTCCATAGGACATTTGCTCCATAAGACGTTTGGTCCACACCAAAAGGCCTTTGATATATGGTTGGATTTGATCCTGTCCAAAATGCCCAGAGACATTTGGCCCATAAGATTATTTGGTCCACAACAAAAGGTCCTTGAAATTCGGTCCTATCCAAAACGTCCATGGGGACGTTTGGTCCATGCCACCTGATTTTGGACAGGACCGAAATATCAAAGACCTTTTGGCATGGACCGAAGGTTTTGTGGCCCAAGTGTCTCACGGACAGTTTGGACAGGGCCAGGTATCCCACCAGGGGCAGCACAATTCTACACTCGCCACCCCCCACTCAGTGGAAACGCACGGGTTATGGAGATGGCCCTTCACTGCTGATAGGAGACAGTGTAATTTTAATTCATGCTGATGAACGGACCATTTAATATTGGAAGAAAGGAGGCGGCTCCCATGAAAGTTTCTTCTTAGTGTTCACTTCCATCAAGAAATGGAGTAAGCCTTTCCACAATACTGCCAAGTTACAGAAACTTGCTTTCTTTGGGAGGTGATGATTTCTCCCAGCGCTTTCTGTCCCTCCTCCTCGGGCCCATGACTCAAAAGGAACAGCTTCCATTTACCAGGTGTCCGAGAAGTTGTTAGGAGCCCAGATGTTAGAAATTGATGCCCGAGTTAAAATCCCCACCTGCCCCTGCATGTGTGATCCTCAGCCTTGGGTTTCTCCACTGTAAAATGGAGCTAAAAATTACGTATGTCAAGGGGTGCTGTGAGGATGAGAGTTAAGGCGTGCAAAATGCTGTAGGCACGTGGTGCCCTGTAGCTTTTCTTATCAGCACTGTGCACCCTGCACCGTGCTGGGGGCTAACCCAGAGCTCCATTTACTTCCTGCAATAACTCTAGGAAGGGAGTGCTACTATTAACGCCCCCATTTTACAGAAGAGGAGACTGAGACCAAAAGGGGGTTAGTAGGTCATCTGAGGACAGAAAGTAAAAGTGGCAGGAATCAAAGCTGTGCCTGTCTGATTCTAAGCCTGGGAACTTCCTGCCACACGTCAGCACTTTCTGGATGAAACACACACACACACCACAAAATGCCGTGTCACACACCAGAAATTAGCACAACACTGCAAAGTGACTCTACTTCAATAAAAAAAGAATGCCAAAAAAAAAAACTGTGTCACAGAATTAGAAAGACATGCTTATGACTGGAACACAACATGGTAAACTGTGCCTCATTATCTAGGGATCCAAATGTCTCTCCATCAAACCCTTTCTTTTTTGAGTCCAAGGACCACGTTTTTACACTTCCCCTGAAGAAAACAGCACCAAGTTCCGAACACACAAAAGGCACCCAATGAATACTCAGCGGGCTTACGTGGAAATTCACAGAAGACATGTGCATCCATGTCCTGGTTTAGAACACATGATCAAACAATCCAGATAAACCGTGAATTCCCTAAAGCTTTGAAAACCTTGCCAAATTGAGCTCCTGTCTTCTGGAGACAATGAGAGTTTTGATCTGAAGCTAAACATTTCTAATCTCATCAAAACACCCCGAGTGAAAACAATTCTCATGAGACCTCCAGGTGGGATTGGGGAAGGGCCTCCCGTGTAGCTGCTATAAAACCCGCTCAGCTAGAGGCGTTGGAAGAGATTCCGGTTTTGGACTGTGTTTGTTCTGTCCTTGTTTTTTTTAATCCCAAGTGCTGTGAGGAGCGCCGCACTATTGCTACTAGTCTGGCCAAGAGATCTGGGTATTCCCAGACGTTCTGAAACCCGTTTCCCCATCTGAGGATAAGAAGAGAGGGACAGCCAGCATCCTCCCTGCCCGGCACCTGTGATGGAGATTTTCAAATAGGCCATTTGGGGGTGTGGGTGCCCACGGCTCAAAGCCAATGGGGATGGGAATAAGTGGGAAAAAACTGCATACAACTGGATTTATTTCTAAGACTTTTTAGCCAAGATTTTACTGGAATGTCTCTACGTGATGATCTCTGAGTATGGCAGAGCCTCCTTAAGCTCGCATTTTACCTCTTCTTGATTTCGAGGTAAGCTGGGTGTTAGAGAGACAGGGCTGAGATGGGAGGTGGGAGGTGCTGGGGTGACATTAGAGATGATGATGGCCAAGGCAAACTGCACGTGGACTCAAACTCCAAAGTCACTTCAGGACACACCTCTCAGTCCGGGCCTGCTGGAGAGGCTAGACTGGCTCTCACAGGAAGAGAACTGTGTGCGGTCTGGGGAATGAGAACAGAGTCTGAGGTTTAGGAAGCCAGGATTTAACTTCCCCTCTGCCACTTATTAGAGCTGTGTGATGTTTGACAAGTTACTTAACCTTGCTGAGCCTTCGTTTCCTCATCTGTAAAATGGGAGTAACACTGGTACGCACCTCAGGGACGTGGAGGAGAGGATATGAGATGAGGCACACAGAAGTAAATGCAGGTGGAAGTACGTAGCCTGGCCATGTGCTGCCTACACTTCCTAGGGCAACAGGTGAACACGGGCCTCTTCATTACTGCTGAAGGGGACACCTTGTACGTGTATGATGCAAAGTGTCCCGCACCTTCACATACCTGTTGTGATGAACACTTTTTTAAAAAAGGGCTTCTTGGCATATTTTGTGGCTGATCCCTAAATAGCCCGAGAGGAGGGCAGGGCAGGAATGATGACGCCTGTGCTGCAGCTGAGAAAGTGGAGGCTTAGAGACTTGAAGGGGCTCATTGGGACTGCTGACAGGGGACAGGCCAGCCCGAGTCTCCTCCTCCAGCCAGCCCTCCATCCACAGCGACCTGCGAGGCAACCCAATGGAAGACGCCCCCAGAGCAAAGAGTGGGCAGCCTGCCCCGAGGGAGGGCGTGAGGACTCTGTTCCAGTCAGGCCAGGCCTGGTCTATTCATTTACGCGCTGCGTGGGACCACGTGGATTTGACTAGCCTTCGGATTGGTGACCTCAGGGAGTCAGGGTCCCCAGTGCCAAGGGAAGGGCCTGTTAGATCAGAATAAGCTAGGGAATTTTCTGTACTGTTGTTCCTTTAAAGTTTTTCTACACAACATTTGCAAACGCACGGAAAAGGAGAAATAGCAGTATGACAAATCCCAGGGTGGACCCTCCAACTCCGACAATCCTCACTCCACACCAGCCCAGGCTGGTCTCCACCTCTGGCCATGCTCCTGCTCCCTGGTTTTTTGGAAGGAAATGCTTGGGAAATTAACAAGCAACACAGCCCCACCCTGTGCCCTGCAGATTCAGGTCCAGCAGGTCTGAGCGGCTGGGGATGCACTGGAGGATGCTGGAAGTGACAACCAGGCAGTGACTCCAGTCACCATGCAGCCTAATGATTCATGGTCACCTACCAATCTCCTCCCTTCACCTGGGCCCTCCTCATGGGCAGGAAGCCTTTTATTCATCCTCACTTCCCCAGAGCCTAGCGCAGTAACTGCCAGGTCAGGCTGATCGTGTGAGATTGATAACATCCAACTGGTTTTTACCTTCAAAATGCCTACTTTATGATTCCATCGCATATACAGGAGGTATTCAACACATGTCCAGTGAAGAAACAAGCTTGGACAAGGTTATTACAGCTCTGACATGGCCAGCTACAGAGCTAGGATTTCTGGTCAACCTGACAACAGTGCAGAGTGGCTGGATATCTCCACCTGCTGAGGAGGAAGATGGGCTCACGTGTACGGAAGTGTTCAGCCCAGTGAGGATGACTATTGGGTGCTCGATGTGTGGTAATGATTCGTAGCGTTATTGTCCAGAGCCAGGCAGCTCCTCCGACTGCAGAGCCAGGATCTGAACCCCAGCCGGCATGGCTCCTAGCAGGCTCCCTTGCCAAGCAGTATCTGTTCTGGAAATGCAGAGATCAGAAGCCTCTGAAAGTTGACCCGGGTCAACAGGGTCCCCAATTGGCCATATGAAAACTATGAACCCCTTGGCAAGTCCCAGACAATGAGTAATTCACACTAAGGGAGCGGGTGTGAATTTCCTTAGCAGAGTTCTGCAGTATCCCAAGGAGGGGCACATGCCCAGCTGCCTGTCTTGCTGTGTTTTCATCTGCAGGGCGAGGACAAGTGAGATTCGGAGGGCGGACCACGCGACCCCAAGGGGGCAGGGAAGATGCCCCTTCTTACCTCTTGGCCCTGTCTTTCTCATCTTCATCCATTAGATTTTCTCTGCAGTTTTTCCTGCAAAAAAGAACAGAAGATTATTATCTGATTCTCGACCTTTCTCACAGGACTTTCTGGTTGTATCTGAATCACAGAGGTTCTCTGACTTTGCAGCGACCCTTATCACTCTCAAAAATTACTGATGACTCTGAAGAGCTTGAGTGTGTAGGTGAAGACTGAGAAATCTTAAATACACAAGCACTCCTTCATAAGGCATCTGCGAGATGCAATCCACAGATGTCAAGGAGCTTCTGGGAAAGTCTGCTGTATACTCATGAGAATAAACAGGCAAATGATGTGTTAATATTAGTAAAATTGTTTTGATCTCTCGGACCTCCTGGAGGTCCCCAGATCACACTCGAAGAATTTACTTTCCAGACCCAGCTCAACGAAGTATCTGTTTATCTCACGTCTTAAACCTGCAAACTGCCCACAACATTCTAAAGGACAGCTTTTATCTGTTTCTCTGTTCATTCAAATATACAAACTCATATACTCCCCTGAAGGGATCAGGGCCCCAAAGGAGTATAATACACTGTCCTTCCTTTAAGGCACATACACCCCCCCAGAAAGTCCAGGCACACAGGATGTGAAAAATGAAGTAACAATCCGGGAATGCTTCTCTGGCCCCAGATCACCAGCAACGACCTTACCATCTTGGCCTCTCCTCTCCTGGGCTGCTAGCTCGAAGCCTCTCAGGGCCACTCACATACCTGAGGTCCTTCACCCCTCACAGCCACATCCCTGACTTCTTCTTTACTTTACACATTTCCCAGAATCCCACTTGTCTGGGGTGCTCCTCCTCCAGGCAGCCCTCCAGGCAGAAAGACCTTCAGGGTGTCCCTGAGGCCGGAGTTGGGGGCAGAGGCCGCCCCCTCCTGCAAGGAATCCTCAGCATATTCCCGCACACCCTGCAACTTGGAAAAGGCACGGTCAACAACGGGTCCACCCTTCCCTGAAGCCACTCCTGCACATCCTCTAGCTGCAGCGCCTCCCAGGCTGGCCAGGGCCTCAGGGAGCGGGACTCCCAGGAGAAACCAAGAGAAGACTCCCTTCCCCCAATTCAGCAAGCTTCCACAACCCTATGAGAATTATCCTTCCAGCTTCTCTAAGGTCAACGCTGAGGCTTGATCTGCCTGCTTTGATCAGGATTCCCCCTTCATGCTTTCCTTTTTCCAAGGGTCTGATGATTCATTATCAGGAAAACAGTGACATCAACCAGTAAGAAATGGAAGCAGAAAGTTAGAAAATTCGTTATGAAGTAAATTTGAAATGGCATTGTACAGTCAACAAAGAATTTCCAAAAGAGAAATCATCGCACTATCTCGATGGATCGAAAGGTCACCCTAACATGACATATAATTCTTGCAGCCTGTAAAACTTATATTCCAATCACTTAAGATTCCTTTTAGGGGCCCCTTTCTAAAGAGTTTGGACTGCACAGTGCAAACCCAGGTCAACTAGAGACTCTGATGGGTGATGGTGTATGGTCAGGGTGTGGACGATAAACGCCTATAAAAATCAGCAAGAGGGGACAAGGAGATTTATGAGTCATGCTCGGAGCTGAGTCAGTGAACGGCTTTGTTGGGAGCCACTGTTCAGCTGCCACAGACAAACCGAAATCAATCCATAAAACGCGGCTATCGCCCAGCTCCTCGTCTACCTAACTGCTCGTCCTCACGCTCCTTTGGGCCCGGGAGCGTTCATCGTAATTGCGCTTAAGTTTGCAAGGAGCACACAAGACCAAGATATCCTGGAAACAAGAAGCCAGATTTGTTTCGGACACACCCAGGCTGTGGAATTGACGGCTTCATATCAGAGCTTCAAATAACGTTGAATAAAACAGTGGGATGTTTCTGTAACTAGCTGCTCACCGTGGGAGGCAGCCACGTTCGTTTGGGAGCTCCCAAGAGCTAGGTTTCCGTGTCCTCCAGCCTGGTTCCTCTGCTCAGTGCGGTGGCCCAGACAGAGCCTGGGGAATGACGACCTCATCTGTAAGTGTAAACTCCCACTTTCCACCATCCTCCTGAGACCCCATCAGGACAGCTCATCTGTGTAAAGCACTTGGCAGAGGATGGGTGGGGAAGAAAGGTGAACCGTCTCCTTTCCAAGGTGCAGCGGGCGGAGACCGTGACTCTGGAACGAGAGCCGGCCCGCATCTGCAGAGCCCCAGGTAACTTACACCTGGTTGGTACCAAACAGCCTTCCTTTGCATTGTTTTCCAGAGGCCCAGCCCACCCGGGGGGAAGCAGCCCCTGATGAGGGAGGGAGTGCCATCCCCGGGTCATGGCCACATTCGTGAGAGGTAAAGACCGGCCACAGGAAGGCCCTGTGGCAAGAGTCACATTTCGGGATGCCCCATTGGCTTTTGTTAGAGAATGATTTCTAAAAAAGACAGTGTCGTCCGCCTTCCCACTGGACACCTGCCCTCAAAGCATCCCCAAAGTGAGGACCTCGATGGCTTGAGTCTCTCTGGGGCTTCCCAGCAGCATCCTCTACGTTTTGTCTCCATTCTCTGCCACCAGTATGAAATTCACGCTGAGCTCTGTGGGATGGGGGGGGTGGGTTGCGGGCAGGCAGGGCCCCAAACATCCTGGAAGCTGGAGTTTCTCCTCAAGAAACACTCTCAGGCCCTTCGCACACAAAGTCTGAAGAAAAGCCTGCCCTCTAGACCTGATGGGACCAGCGGGAGGACAAGACACAGAACAGACACCAACAGCATGTCGGGCAGGAAGCCCCAGCGCACTGGGCAGAGGGGACGTGACGCATCTCCACCAGGAAGACCCGGCCGCAGCCAAGACCTGGTCGTGTTCATCGAGCAAGCGGAGCAACAGTAGGTCCAGAAATGTCTGGTTTTTACACTTTAAAGGTCAACCCGGCAGGACTAGAAATGTCTAGTTTCCCCACTTTGTTCCTTCAGATGTTCATGGTGTAAATGAAAAATGTCTTAGAAGATCTCCCTCCCTGCAACCCCTCCTGGACAACACAGCAGAAACTGCCAGGGAAGCCAGAAGGATAGTTTTTTCCTTTTAAAAAAGAGCCTGAGCTCTGTCCTTTCAAAAATGTCTCACGATGTGACCCCAATCAACGCACAACTCACCCACTGGCTGATGCCCCAGCCCTGAAGCCCGGGGTGGAGGCGTCAGTGTGTCAGAGAGAGTGTGAGACACAGCCCCCTTGTCTGGATGTTCAGCCTGAGCTTTGGGATGACGAAGTGCAGAACCAGAACACCTCCCGGGAGGTGGCGGGCGTGCTGGGCACATGGTACATGGGTTAGTGAAACACACTACAGGGCAAGCTCAGCTTCTGGCTTTCTCTCGCCAGCTATTCGATTGTGACTATCGGATCCTCTGTTTCTTCCCTAGACGACTGACACCATCCTGCGGCCGCAACACTGTGATATTCCAGCAAAGAATAGAAGTGTGTGTAATGTGTACACCTATTGGTGTCACACCCAAATCCCTAAGCACAGTGTCCACAGCCTTTGATGACAGGTTGCCAGTTTGTGACTTCAGCTCCAAGACACGTTGTCCCATCCCTGACCCCTGACATCTGCACTGTGGTGACATCCTCCTCTCTCTTATCACCACCACCACCACTCTTCATTCCTCCAGCCCTCCCCACACCATCTGAGGTCAGGGAAGCACTGTACCCCTGCCCCACCTCCTGCATCCTCGCCTCCTTACAACATCAATCTGTGTCTGCCGCCCTGGCCTAAGCTGTCCACACACACCCCTGACTCAGTGGTGACCCTCTTGAAGGCAAGCCCAGCTTCCATCCTCTGCATCTCAGCAGGCAGCAGATGCTCCTGGCTCAGGACAGTGTCCCAGCAGAGGAGACGCATGAGATTCTGTTTAGAAATCTGTTTTCCAAGTTTGGAGAGAAGGCTAGTTCCTGGCAGTAATTCACCCTAATGCAGGATCTCCGGCGGCGAGGCTGAGCTGGGACGTGAGAAGCCCCTGTGCTTGGACACTGTCCCTGGGTCACCTCGGGTGCCAGGTCCTAACTATTTAGACTAATGGAAAACGGGGCAACCAGATTAAATCCTGTTCACCCAGAAGACTGCCATCTGCACGACTCGGAAAGCTCCTTGCTCTGCCCGGCCCCTCTGGACAACGCTAAACAGGCTTAGCCTGCTGTGGGCAAAGAGGGAAAAGTAGGTCAGCTTAGCAACACCCTCTTCCACGGCCACGAACTAACGATGTGAATGAGGGGCCGGCGGTGAGAGGGGCAGGGCTGCTCCTGGAGGGGCCCCGGGCTGCTCTGGGTCCAGCCGGGGTGGCTCGGGCAGCCTTCCGGGGGCAGACTGGGGACCCAAGGAATGAGGAAAACTCAAAGAAAGAGAAGCTGCAGGAAGAGAACAGTGTAGACGCCCGGTGTCGTTCAGTTAGTGTCTTCACGGCGGTGAGATAACCTGCTTCTCTCGCACAGTCGTGCTGCCAGCTGGCATGAACACAGCCGGCCACCCTGTGCTGCCCCCCGGCCGCCGGCTCCCTCCACCTGACTCGTCGCACCTCTCTCCTCAACTCCTGGTGATAACGGGGTGCTTGCCGGCGGCAAGGATGGACTTGAGCCGGTGGTGTGGGGACCAGCGGGCCCAGGCTGGAGAGTGGGACACTGTGCTGTCCCCACAGTGCCTGTGTCCAGTGTCGCTGCAGCTGTCCAGACGGAAAGGCCACCCCTTCAGGCCTCCTGGGTTCACACGTTGGACAAAGCACCAGATGCTCTGAGGGAAACTCCCCCGAGGCCCAGGTGATCTAACCTACTTCCAGGAGCTGGAGTCTGAAACCAGGTCGTCTCAGGAGGGACCGGCACAAACCTGGAGGCTGATGCTGGGGGCCCCAGGGGCCAGGTCCTGCTTCCCGGGGCCCCCAGGAGGGACAGGGCCCCTTGCTCAAGCCCTCCAGTAGCTCACTGGTGCCCCAGCAGCAGGAGCAGACCCAAGTTTTCACCCGGCGTCCCCCCGAAGCTTCCCGACAGACCAGTGGCCATGTGGCCCAGGCCAGGTCGGGGTGACC